AAAATGTTTTAGATCTTTGAGTTCATCTCATGAAAAATGGGAGCAAAAACAAAAGTGTTGCGTTTATATTTTTGTTCAGTGTATATTTTGCACACGATGTATTGATAGCAGAACAAACCCTGCAGGATGTCATATCTGTAAATACACAGAGAAAACATATCATTGAATACATGAAGAAATATATTTTATATTCTGTGAGAAAAGGATCTTCATGAATGTTTACTCACGGTCCTTTTAGTTTGCAGCAGGGACATCGATGTGTTTTAGTGTTAAGAACGTATTCATGGTGACTTTTATCATACACTTGTCCTGTTTTTCCTGCAGGTGAGCACTCACGGCTACTCTCAGAATCAGATCTTGGTGTGGAAATATCCGGCGCTCACTCAGGTCGCCAAACTCACAGGACACTCCTACAGAGTGCTCTACCTGGTCAGTGTGTATCTTATATCTGATGGGAATCATGACGTGGCTGTTTGGTCACGATAATGGAAAAGCTGGTCGTATTTTCTGAGACATATTGATTTGTTCTTTTTGTAAATATCAGGCCATGTCCCCGGACGGTGAGGCGATCGTGACGGGAGCGGGAGACGAGACGCTGCGCTTCTGGAACGTGTTCAGTAAAACCAGGTCAACTAAGGTGAGGAGGAAGCTAAAGGGAGAGTTTGGAGGTTTTGGAATATATATTTCTATTTAGAACATTTCTCCGCTTGACCTTGCTGTCATAAGTCTCTTTTTCTATGTGGAACTGAAGCTTTAAAGGTCCCCTATTTTTCTCTTTTTCAACAATACCTTTTAGGTCTCAGATATATACAGTACATGTCTCAAAACAGATCATTGCAGCATTACCCATAATCCCCTCTGTTTCAGCCCTGTTCCAAAAGTGCTGATTCTGTGTCTGTAGCTTTAAATGCTAATGAGCTGCTGCTGGCCACGCCCCTCTGAGAGATGCTTGGTTTAAAAAAAAAAACACACACAATGGTGCTCTAGGAGGAGATTCAGGTGATAAGGTGTGTGTGTGGGGCGGGGGGGTTACCTTGATTGGTGATTGGCTAATGGTTACACAAGCCAAAACATCGTTATGACATCATAAAGTGGCCAAAATTTGATCAGCTCGTTTTCAGACAGGTTTTTATAGAAATGGATCGGGACAAAAAGAGAGAGAATCTTTATTCCTGTTCTCTTTACACACGTTTATGTATAAAAGACATGATGAAGTTTATTTTGCATAATAGGTGACCTTTTAAAGACACCAAAATCCATTGACAAAATCAGTGAGTTTGTCTTCGCAAGTTGCTGGTCATCTTCTGCCTCAATGGGTTAGTTAGCCTGTGTTGTTTTGTGACTTTGGTCTTCTAAAGGATTCATTTGAATGCACCAAAGTCACACAGTAATCAAACCAATCGATGCAGCAGTAAACCAGTTTACCCCTCGGGTTAATTTGCTTCTTTTTCTGATGGAGTCTGGTGGCTTTCAAGAGAGTTCAGCGTGAAGCAGTGCATCTAAACTCAAATAGATTTTCTTTTTACACTGGAAAAAATGCTGCTCCAAAAACCAGTTCAACAATATTGAAAACAAGCTGTTTTCACTTGAAATAAGTACAAAAGTCTGAAAAAGTGAAAATTAGCTTGGTAAGATTTCTTGAAATAAGAAGGGATATTCAGATAAATCAGATCTTGTAATTATCTGGGAGAACTCATTTTGAACTATGTTTTACCAGAAACAGGAAACGTTGTTACAATATAAGCCGCAAATGCTCAAAAGTGTTCTGTTTTCTGATGTTAGTTGGTCATTTCTAATAAATGTGTAAAAAGATGTGTTTCATCTGAGATACAACTCAAAATGAGATTTTTGTACTTAACAAGATGATGCATTTTCTAAAAACAAGACCCGATATCTCACTGCAGTGTTACTTCTGAAGTTATTATGTTCTATATCAGGTGTGAAGACATATTCTGACTAGATGTTAGACAAATATACTTGGCAAGATTTCGAGTTTTTGTAGTGGGGGCGGTATGTTTTTAGGTGGCTAAATATATTTTTGCTGCTTTCCATCCACAGCAGTACATTGCTTATCCTCCGTGCTGTAACTCTGTTTTTATTTCGTAAACTGGGGTCTTCATACAACCCCATTTTAAAACATCTGAAATATGACTTTAATCAAACACCCCCTTATATGTTTAAAAGCAATTTACCATCTTTCTTTTTGCAGGAATCCGTTTCAGTTTTAAATCTCTTCACCCGGATACGATAACTTTAAGGAAATATAAAAACTCTTGGACTCTAGTTGGAGTGGATCCTGTCGTCCGGACGGTTCCTCCTCACAGTGCTGAGAACAGAGAACACTACAGGCTTCTTGTTCCACAGAAAACATGGCGACAAGAACAACCGGGCACTTTTTTCATGCGAACAGTTGCTAGGGAAACTCTTTTTTCCCTTTTTGTGCTCTCATTCTGAATGTAGTCATTTTTTTTTATTAAAAGAAATGTGTATAAGTGAGTTGAATTTCCATTTGTGTAAAAGAAAAAAGGCCTTACTTGTGTTGAAACATGGAGAGTATTACTAGTTTTTATTTAACTCAGGTCTTATTTATTTAACGCTGCAATTTAGAAAATGCCATTACATATTATGACTAAAACACAATCACCTACCAAGGCCTTTGCATTACGTGCACCATGTTTACTGTGATCCTCAGAGGACTCGCAGTGATTGGCTGAAATAATGGACAGAAAGTCTAATGCTGGGCATCGAGACGTACTTTAATCTGTATACTGATTCTTTCTTGTAAAGGAAGAAATAAAACCATGATGCAAATGGACAATCTGTGTGTGTGTCTCCTTTTTGCCATTACATATACCTTTGAGTACTTCTTTTAGGGTTATTTAATTTGATTGACATGCACTGCTGTTGAGTCGGTGTACTCCATATCAATAGTTTTTCTCTTTTGAACGAGTCATGCTTCTCCGGTTATTACCCGTCCCCTTGTGTGTTATGTAGCTTTTTATGCATGTAAACGGTCTGCAGAGTCACGAACCCTCAAAGTACACCCTGTAGCAAGTAAGGAGCTCCAACAAGCCATTTAGGACAGAGAGTGAATACACATACT